TCTTAGGACTGGCTCTTGAACATACGGTAGTGATTAGCCAGCGTCAAGGTCTGAAGAAACTTACAATGTAGCTTCCAAGTTCATGCCAAGCTTTTAGGTGAATCAAGGGCGATGTATTTCCCCCCTCCAGCGGCTCCGGTCCCATGATGCTGCTTATTAACCGCAGCTATGGTGGGTATCCGTCATCTGCAGGAGGGAAGTAACTTTACGAGTTTTGTTTGTGGCTCTCTTATTCAAAACGACTTCAATATTTCTTTAGTGGATCGGAAGCTAGTCTACCAACCTGATAGTGTTGAAATCATGGTCCGATGTTTGGATTAGGCATCTATCTTTGTTACGTATTCTATTCATTGAAATTTTGAGCTATCATCGTCATTGTTACGGTAGAGCTCGCTCTTCAAGACTGACAACTAGATCAAATACGAAGGTTGCGATGTTCTACGCTAGTATATGGTCTATCCGCTTCTTTGTTACACGGATGCGTTTTACTCAGCTCCCTTGATAGCGGCTTTTTAAGTTCATTAGACCATTTGATTTGGCTGTTTTTTACTGCCTTGCTTTGCAGTTCCTTACGCGTTTCGACACTTCGCGTTCACCACCGTTTTTTGTCGCCCACTCCCTGCTGCCTGCACTGATCACTGCCACCAAATCAGATGAATTAGCCAACATGACGACATTTGTGCCACCGCTGCGAGATCCTCGGATGGCCCAGTCGGCAGCTGCGCAAGCTGTGGGACGGCTGGCTGCGGATCGTTGTATCCCTCTTGTCGAACCCCCGCCTCCAGGCGTCCCCGCCACCCCCATCTCCCTCATCCTTCCCGGTCTAAAGCGGCGTCTCAAACAGACTTTCTGCCAGCCTAAAAATATTCAAGTCAATCCTCTTTTATGGATATTCAAGGCTGTGGTACTGCCTGAACTGAATTCCGGAGGTATTCACTTGGGTTTCATCTACGGTTTAACAAGATTGTAATTTTCTTAGAACTTACGCGGTGGTTCGTCATTACTTACCTTGTAACTCATGTGTCAAATGCGCGCCGCGAATAATCCGCAATTAGTAGTGGTGGCAAGTTTAACCGCGCGACTACTTGTGTCTGTAGAGGATCTCGTTCTACCCAGACCCGAGAAACACGGCGGTCCCATCACTCTGAATCCTTCCACCTGCAGTGGAGTCGGTTGTCAATTGGACAATCTCTTCAGCGCCGAGCTCTGGCATCCAGGCGAT